GAAGAGGAGGTGGTTATACAGGTAGATTGTGCAGAAGTGGAAAGCAGAAATGGTTAGGAGTTAAGCGAGGGGGAGTATATAAAGACTGAGAGATACTCGCATTTTGTAGACACATCGATACACCCATTGCAAAATTCTTCTTGCACTTGCGGACTGTGGTTGCCGGGCGTGAACTGCTATTCTAACGAAGAGACCCAGAGACGTGAGTGCGGGCTCAAGTGCATGCAATAGTCCAGTTTAAAAGAAATTTGATAGGTGAGAGAGGAATTGATGTTCCTAGTGGAAGCACAAGGTCTAGAAGATGAAAGTGAGTGCATGCTCCTAATCATAGAAGTATATTGTCTCCTGAGTGATAGATACAATATACGAGGATAAGAGTAGGAATCGAAGGTTTTGAGGAGGTGTGAGGCTATCCTCGCAGGAAAGAGGAGAAAGATACATCACACCCTTTTTATAACAATCTTACTGACTAGGATATGTGATTGAGGGACAGTCATTGTGTTGGCAGGGGTAGCAATGCCTATAGGTTATGTCTGTGTGAGTTTGAATTCTTCAAGTGGAATGGGTTCAATGGCTCTTTTAGAGGCCGGAGAATGAGGGTTCAATTTTCCGGTGCGTTGAAATCGCCGTCTCGAGTTGCGTGAGTTCATGAGTGTGTTCAATAATCTAAGAAAGGTGAAGTCAATGCGGCATAGTCGATATCCCTAGTCGCATCGGTCTATATAACAATAGAAGAACCCCATCATCCGATCCAGTATTTGGATGCAGAGCGAGAGGGAGGACCCGTTGTCTGGAATTTTAATGGTGGGGAGAGGGAGGCCATTATTTCGAGGAGCAGTTCCTTTAGTCGGAGATGGGATTCAATGTCCCCGGCGTAGTGGTGTATATAAAAATAGAAGGAGTCCATTATTCTAAGTAGCAGCAGTAAGTATAACTAGTGAATGAATTCATTATCTTGAATAGCAGCAGTAGATTAAATTAGAGGGAGGATTTCTTGCTCCAGGAACCATTAACACATTCGACAAGAGGAAGCATACCTAGCCCGAGATACAATGATGTTCCACCAAATAGAAAATTTAGTTCTGCTTGCAAACTGCAACTTCCATCATAGGGTGAGACGGGAATTTGGATACCTGCGCCTTAGAAATTGGTATAAAAGAAGGTCTGCTAATCTTGAGCAATACCGTAGTCCTCTCTGAATCCCACTTACGAAGACATTGCTCAAATGGCATCACATATTCTCTGGAGGCAATCAAATGCACAGATGGCGATCTAAGTATAATAGTAGTGTGTGAATTCTCAGCGTGCGTTCCCTTAGAGAATGGGACTGCTTTCCTTAGTCTCTGCTAGAGTCTGCACGTTGACAGCGATGAGGTTCTTGACAACAACAAGCTGAGACGAACAAAATACACTCTTTTCTATGAAGTTTCCAATGGATGAGTTTGCAAAAAAAAAGCCAGCTGAGATCCCTTTACTGCATCGCGGCAAAAATCTTGATTTTAAAAGCAAAGAAATTCAATTCAACTCGTGCTCACCTAACTGCGTGGTTAGGAGTCATAGTTAAGGGGATGGGAGGACTTTGTCTTTTCAGGAATATTCAACTGGAGAGGGGAGTGGTTTACTTGTTAAAAGGTGGTTATGTGCGTCAAACAATGGCGGCCTGTACTTGAGAGTTTGAATTGCTTATCCGATTTTTGCAGTGATAATACAATACTCTGCCAGGTCTCCCTGCTTGCAAATCGCCTTTGCACAAGCTTCGTTAGTCACCTGCATCTGGAATTATTATTTCTGCCCACAGGCAATTCACGGAATCGCTCTCGTGTCTCCAACTGCGCTATTCCCTCCACGCCAGCACTCAGCTCAAATATACGGGAATGGCGTTGCCGATTCAATTGCCCCTTCTGGTTTGCAAGTCGTTTTTGCCGCACACAAAGCATGGCGCCAATTATAATGAGTAGAAGTGTTATCCCAGCTCCCACGCCAATCCCCGTGTATGCGGCTACGGATAGCTCCCGAGGAGCTTGAGGAATAGTACCGTTTGCGATTTCGGTTGGTTGTGAAGAGGGTATAATTGTGGGGAGGGTTGTCACAGATGGGCCAGTGGTGTTGCCGGGCATCAGAATGCTACCCCGAGTGGGAGATCAGCACCAACTCTCACACCTGGCAGCCATAGACAGCATCCTCACCTGTCAATGATGTGCATCACACCATTATTAATCAAATAATCAGAAGCAATAACCTTGGCAGAGTTGATATAGGTAGTGCCGTCATCCAGGATCCTAACTATTGCAGGCAGCCCAGAGAACATGGTCAACTTTGTTCCGTTCTTGAATGACGACGAGTATAGGACACTTCCAACAATGCAGTGGTAGCTAGCGAGCGCGGTAAACTGCTCTTGCGTAGCGGGAGATGCATTGATGATATCGTCCAGCGCTGCGGCGCTGTTTGGGACGAACCATGTCATGTCCGTAGCTACAGTGACGGTGTTGAAGAAAGAGGGATTGTACCCGCTCCAAAAGTACTCTCGGTTGAAAATGGCGATGGCGTATGAGAGCCCTGCGTCTGTCACTGTCTTTAAAATATCCGAAGGGATCTGCAGGACGGAATCGATGATGTGGACCATTCCGCCGGGGATGAGATAGTCCTAAATGGTTATCTGTCAGTTTCAGGTTATCAGGGGAGGTCATTCACAGGGTGTGCTTACCCCAGATACTAATTTGCTGGACGTTTTGTTTCCTGACTGGAAAATTGTCTCATGCGGCTTGGAAGCTTCGATGCGTTGTCCGCCCGTGACATTAGCAAAGGAAGTGTTTGAAAGAGCACTTGGAACAAATTGTGGCGTTGTGCTAAGCAGAGCGGTAGGATGGCTCCCGGAAAGAAGGTGGTAGGTCAAAGTTGCTTCAACCCAGCTCTGGGAGCGGTTCCCAATGAGCCAGGTTGAAATCGCGTCATCGGTTGGAGCGAGAAATGTGAAATTGTACGCTGGTAGGAGGAGAGATGAGAGCTGAGGAGATGCTCCAATTAGGGATGCGAGTTTGCTGAGCGAAGGCGTTTTCAGGCTGAAATCTAGGATGGTCTGCGCAGCAGATTGGACGATAAATAGAAGAAGTAAGATCAGAAACATGATTAAAATAAAGTTACTTTAATTCTATTTGCAAGGAAGAAGATGGGTTGAATCAGCTCAGCTGTTGAAGGAGCACCAAAAGAGGAGCGAGAGGCATAAGGGGCTGCTGCTTGTAAGAAGTAGGATTTGAGGTCCTGCATGTGATAACAAGGATAGTTGAAGAGAAGTTGACTGAAATTCACAAGGAGTTTTTGCCAAGCAGGCTGAGCAGTGAGGTGCGTCATTGCCTTGCAGAAGAAAGTTTTGTGTTACCCTTCAGCAGCCACCAGCTGTAAGAAAGTCCGCGGGTCTCCTGCCACTTTAGATCCGATGCTTGACTCTGCATACACTAGGCTGGAATGGCTCACCGTTCAGCTGCCTTGGTCCCTCACCAAGATAACTCGTTGCGCAAGAACAATTATTGAGGTTAGACACCACCCAAGCCTTGCTCGAAAAATCTCACTGAGGCGCACATAAATTCAACAAGCCGACTCAAGTTTCCTCAAGCCTGGGATGAAAGATTCGTAACTAAGAGTTTGAACCCTCTGGTGATGTTCGCATAAGTCGAAAGTTCGATTAATATCGAATAAGGCACTGCTTGTAACCTAACTTTACAGACGATAATTGAGCAATTAGACCATAGCTGTAACGCTACCTCGTTCAAGCTAGCTGCACAAATCAGCCACTGCCCTGATATCTATCTGACGGAAAAAAACTCGCCCGTCCAGAATGACCCGGTTGATGAGGAACGTGGTCTTCACGGTCAATACAGCTTTCCTCTCGGGCGTGCCAAAGAACCACTCTGCCTTTTATTCTGACCGAATGGCTGAGGGAGGTTGGAGGTAAGCGGTGGGGGCGGAGCAGGACGCATGATGCAGGGCGCAGCCACAGTGGCGAGAATTCGTCAGATCAAGAAACACCAGGTTGGCCGAGCAGAAATCTGGCAATGGAACCTCGTGCCCCAGGCAGGCCATTTATCAAAGCAAAGCGTTACTGAACTCTAACCCAAGAAAGAAACGGGTATGGGCATCCAGTTTCAAAGGCACCTTGGAGAGGAAGCAGCCAGGGGAAGGGTTCTTTTCCACATTACAACAAAAAAAAACTTGAGTTCCCTTAAGGGGGAACTCTATGATATCAACATGCCTTTGCTCTATGGCAAAGGAGAAAGGACATTTCGTCGTCTTCGGGGGGAACTAGCCCGCTCGACGGATGATCACTTTTTCCTTGTATGGACCGTGAGATCAGAGAGCGAGTATTGGAAAACTAGTAGTGTATTCGCCAAGTCGCCTCCCAATTTCTTCGCAGCAGCAATTTTGTACGCCTTTATGAGGAAGCCAGTGCTCCAAGTCTTGCACCCAAGATCGGCTTCAAATCTCATTGCCTCGCGAATAAGGATCTTCCATGCCAGCATGTTACTACCGACGGTATCTTCTGGGCGAATATCGCATATTTTTCTGGACTGTGGAAAAAGAGGAAGGAGAGAGTCAACCCGCATTTTTATCTTTCTTGCCAAGGATACTGGAGCCGATGAAGGCACAAAAGCATTGTGGAGGTTCGCTGTATAGCAGAACATTTACACATTAACTCCCTGCAATAAAAGATTACCTACCTTCAAGTGCCATTCAAGCAAAACAGCGCCAGTAATTGTTGTCCAAAGGGAAAACGAAGACAGCGCTATGCTATCAAATATGTTGGTAAAGCGAAGTAACCGCAAAATCTTGTTGCAAATGGATAGTACTTTTGAAGTATGGAAGGTGAACAAAACATGGGGTTTTAGTTGAGCCCTACCATCGCTTAAGCTGATCACTACTATCAATTAGCGCATATGCTCGTTTATTTAGCTGATCACCACCGTACTCTCGATTAAAGAAGCGAGATAGAACAACAATTCCAATCAGGGCTTGTGGTTTAGTGGTATAATACTCCCTTAGCATGGGAGTGGTCCGGGTAAGCATTAGAAGCACCAACAGTCACTGAATATCAACTAATAGTGCATTCAGGGTTCGATTCCCCGCGAGTCCAAGAAGATTGTTCAATTCAATCAATTGATCCTATCAAATTACATTTTTTTGGGCAGGAGGCAAGGTCACACGGGGTGGTTTTTGATTTTTTGATTTTTTGATTTTTCGTATATTTGCTTTGTCAGCCGCTGGAGCGGAGTTATTTGACTCGTGACCACCTTTAAAGCCTTATCCCTATATAGTACGTCTGCATGGCGCCTTAGGCAGCTAAAAAGACTAATGGAACACAAAAAAAACAAAAAAAAAGGGGAAGCGAGATAGCTAGCCGAGTAAAAGAATAGGTTTTGTGGCGGTTATATTTTGAGCATATGCTCCGTGTACGCTGGTCAGCGGCTCGGTTAATTCATAATTATCACAAGATCACAGTATGGTCACAATATATGCTTGGCACAAATTTGCAGAACGTCGTCTGCATTGATCTAAAAAAAAAAGCAAACGCCCCCCTTAGCCTACCATCCCACCCAGTGTGTGGCATATGTCGAGCATATGACCTAGTAACTAGGCCGAGACGGGAGCATGACGTTCGCTTCGGCCTGTTTTGTATTAGCAGTGCATATACTGAGCGTGTGCACGGGATATGCTTGACTGACGAGTATCTTGGGCAGGAGCACGATTTCCACGAGATTTCTTGGGTCGAGCTATAGAGTATGAGCTCGGCATATGCTGAGGAGGTACTCAACTTACACGGCGTGGGAGGATTGTCATCATCAGGGTCGTCGTCAACGGGAGGCGGACCGCGCTAGTATGTTATTAGCATCGGCACATACAGTCAATGTGCTACAGACCTTCTTCTTGCCACTGCTCGAAGGCAGTGGAAGGTGCTAAATGAGTTAGTACCTGTATGTGCACGGCATACATAGAGCATATGCTGAACTATAGTACGGACAACTTGAATACGCGAGGATAGCTTAAAGGATAGTAGTGATCAGCTGAATAAACGAGCATATGCAGAGTTTGATAGTAGTGGTCAGCTTAAGCGATAGTAGGGATGAACTAAAACCCCTGGCGGTCCTTGTTAGATGTTTTGATGTCCGTCTTGGCTTGCTTCCGCTACCAGCTCGAGGCTAGACATACAAAGATAAGCATCGTTTGGAAATCTCGCATAGGTAGTGTTTTTGCATTGAATTGAGTTCCTTTCTTGGGCAGAAATTCATTGCACGAACTGGAGTATTTATGCATTTGATAGGGTTTCTTTGGCCGGTTGGAACTTTCTACTATTTCCATCCATACTGTGGACGTTGCATTCTGGGTAGAACGACTGCAAAACGAAATGGCTATAAATCCGCTATACCAAAAAATAAAGTGAAGCTTTCGATTTCCTAAGTTGGTGTGTTACGGTGGTTTTTGTGCGTGCTCGGTTGTTTAGTTCAAGCTCGGCTACGTCAGGGGCTCATGGGCAAACGTGTCACGTGAGCAGCGCAGAAATTGATCTCCCCAGCATCTTTTTACGTTGACACTTGATCAGGGGATCACGAGGTCTTATTCAGACTTTGTAGCCCCAAACGCTTCCACATCAGGAAAGTGAGTCAAGCCATAGGTTAATGACCACTGCACCAAACATACAGGTATATAATCCTAAAGACGAAACTAGAAACGTATCAGCCGCTGGCTCCTGTAGTAATCGAACGCCCAACACCTGCAATGAATCTTGCCCTGCCCCAAAAACCCGTATATATACTCCCAAAAATGACCAGCATGGATATGATACAGAGTTCACTTCTCGCCCTCCTTCTCACCCTCTTTCTTCCCCCCGGTCAACCCAGCCAACCACCCCTTCGCTTTATCCAACTTATCCTTAAACCACTCCCAGAAATTCTTCTCATCTTCGGTCATGCCGCTCTCATCAGAGACGACCGGTCTATCAACGGGTGCGTCGTCGGTTGGGTTGATGCCGACCATGTGTGGTGGGACTTCGTTTGGGTCTGCGGCCGAGGAGGCCTCGATGGGGGAGATGGAGATTATTCCGTCAGCGCCAACGGAGACGGGAGATGGGGGCGAAGGTGGAGTTGGAACGGATACGGAGACAGGGTCGCTAGGTTCTTCTGGCATTGTTTCTGGGGTGTGGAAACCGATGGGTTTGAGGGGTAAGCGGAGGCTGCCGTTGTTTGGTCTTGGCTCTAGGCCGAGAGAATCGCAGAGGATGTTGTAAACTTCGGTGTTTTCTAAACAAACGGTTAGTGAAAGCTCCCAGAGGCTGATAGTTAGACTTACGGAAAGGCTCAACCCGGCTGTTCGGGGGTGGGGGAACGCCGGACCTCTTGCCACAAAGATAGCTCTCATCAATGGATGCTCGTGATCGTATCCATGGAGACCACGAGGATGGTAAACGGTTCCTTTGGCTTTGGCATCGGCGACATCGAAGTCCTTCTTCGTGACGATAGCCCATCCTGTTTTTGGAATCATCCAGAGCGGCGCAATTCGCTCGTTCTTCGAGAAGTGGTATCGCTCTGGCATATTCTTGTCTCGAAGATAGACCTCGAAGCCGGGGTTCACAGCTGCCTCTGCGGCGAGTGTGTCGTAGAGAGATTGAAGATCGGCAGGGTTCTTGGGTCGCAGGCCAAAAAGCGGCCATCCATCCATATGCTCAATCAAATTTGTATCGAGAATATCCTCCAATTGGATCACTCGACTTGTGTCTGTAGTTGCCATGCCGTGGTCCGAGACGACTACCACATTGACAATTTGAGTCAGATTTCGCTCTTCAAGTCCTTTGAAGACGCCGTCTAGAAGAGCATCAGCACCGGAAATGGTGGCCCTGATCTCGGTGCTGTTCGGACCGTATTTATGTCCATCAGAGTCGACATTTGGAACGTAAGCAAGAATCAGCTGAGGTCGCATATCTCCCACTTCCGCCAGCTTGTTTTCTTGGCCCGGCTTATCGATCAATTCGAGGATACGTGTGACTTTGTTCGGCAGAGGTTCTTTGCCGTTGTAACTGTCAATGAACGCAGGTTCAACACCCATGATGTGTGCTTCGCTGCCGGGCCACATATGAATAGCACTCCGAATGCCTTGGCTCTCCGCCGTCACCCATATTGGCTCGCCGCCCCACCATTTCGGGTCCATCGAATTCGGATGGGTGTAGAAGAATTCCTCCTGTAGTTCTTCGTCCCAAAAAGTATTCCCAACCACGCCATGGGATTCCGGGTATAGTCCAGTTGAGATAGTATGATGATTCGGAAATGTGACGGAAGGGAAGCTAGGAAGCATATATACTGGCGAAACGCCTTCAGCAATGAAAGCGTTCAATCTCGGCGTGAGGCCCCTGTTCAGAAAATCTGCTCTGAACCCATCTAAGCTTATCAATATCGTCGTTGGCGCGAACAGTGCCGTCCCATTGCTCGTCATAGTTTGCTGTTTGATAGCGACCCTTTTCCGGTTGAGCGACAGCTTCCAGGAAAGAAGTACCAGTATCGAGAACCCCACGGCAATCAAGACGTGTATGAAGCACCATCTCCTCCACCTTCGTCTCCGGGCCGCCTTGTCATCGTGTAATCCCTTCAGCCCGCGTCGATCGAGTTCGTCACTACCTTCAGTCTCACTGCTCGATCCGGTCGAGCTCCCATCCTTCATCCCACCCTCCTCCATCTCATACATCAGATGTCCATCCTCTCCAATCGACGCCTCACTCACCAACCTCTCTTTCCTCTGCCTCCTCCTCTCCCTCCTCCTCTTCCTCTTCTCCCTCCTCCCACTCCCCATCTCCTCCGCCCCTAGTTCCACAGATCCAGATCCAGACCCTATGCTTAAATCCGTCGTGCTCTTCGCAAACAACTTCTTCAAGGGCGCCGCAACATTAGCCAACGCGCTGCCCCGTCTCCCCCGCCTTCGACTCTCCTCAAGCAGCCTATCCCTCTCTTCCTCGTCGAGTAACACATTCCGATCATGCGCCCTGATATCCGCGCTGGTGCGCGCGCCCATCAGCACCTCGTCGTCCTCGCTATCGGTGTCCTGATCGCTGCGTTCGCTGTGGATGCTCGACGCATCGTCGTCGTAGTGCGTTGGGGATAGGAGGGAGGCATCGCGGCTCGGGTGTGCCATGGCGAAGGAACGCTGGGTCGTTATTTCATTGGATTTGATGGCATGCTCTCACGATTTTACAGTGAGGTTTGGGTCGACGTTGTCTTCGAGGAGTCGGCGTCTCGCTTGCTTACTGTGTCCGATTGCTGATCCGCCGGCTGAATCTAAATTTAGTATTTAGCCTCCCCTTTCTTGTACCCTATAATTTAGAAACAACATCTCGTTTTTCAAGTCCATTGATGCTGGCATCGAAGTATTCATTCTGTCACGTTATTCTGAGCTTAGGAAGCCTATACTATTTATAAATGCTTTCCAACCTTGTCAACGCGTCACGTGTGCCGTGCCAAGTGCAGCCACAGGGGTGCTTATCAAAACGGCACTTTCGCCTTAGACGTTTCGTATCCCTCGACGTTTCCTTGAGTGTAGGATATTCAAAGTCAAGCCCGTTCAAATATCCCGCAAATTCTAGACAGTGGGGCCCTCTCCCTTTATTGAGTACCCATCGGGACAAGGGACTTTAAAAAGGTCTTTGCCCGCTTTGTTATCCATCGCGACCCTCTCTCTCAAGCACTCTCCATCCAATCCAAAAGATGAGATCACCCTCTCTTCGTACTGACACCTACCCTTCATTTTCATTTTTCATTTTTTCTATTGCTGGGGCTGGCAGAAGTGCCGGGATTAAAGTCGAACCCCGCAGATCGCGCTGAGATCAAGATGTGCGCTGCGGGATTTATATCCTAATCGATATCGGAAAATGCCTCAGCGGGTCCCACAGCGCTGCCAAGACGACACAGCCATCATGACGACGAGGTCAGTTGAGGGTTGGTATGTCAGCTGAGTGAGTGTTAATAAGAGTCAATAGTTGGGGAGTCCCAATGTTGTCTCGTTTCTAGCTTTCTTCCCTTTCCTGAGTCGTCTGTACCATTTTGATATCAACCCGAGTCTACGCCAACGGCTTTCAGAATGGAGCCGATCACTTGC